GCAATGTAATGATATACGATAGGATGAACGTAAAGCTAATGCTCTCCCATGTAAACTAAAATTATCACATAATTCACAATAAACATTAAAAAAAACCAAAAACTTGCACAGATTTAAGAGGGAAGGGACACAAAGAGTCTTGATCCCACAGTGGTTAAATGTGGGGCTGTTAACCGAAAGGTTGGTGGTTTGAACCCACCAGCTGGTGTGCAAGAGAAAGATGAGGCCATCAGCTACTATAAAGATTGTTAAGTGTCATCGAGTGGATTCCAACTCATAACGACCCTGTACAAGGTTTCTAAGGAGCAGCGAATCCTACAGCGCCACACCAGGAGTCCTTGGCAACCCTACAGGGGGACTGTTCTACTTTGTCCTATAGAAGCAGAATCGACTTGCCAGCAATGGATTTGGTTTGAGTTTTTATTTTAATGAAATAAAGCCCCATCTTTTCTCTACTTTTATCCTCATTAGTTCACATACAGCATGTGACATGGTTAAGTTTAAAAAATGAGTTCACAGTTTGTGCAATTTGGATGATCATGACACATCTGTAAGGGCTGGTGGGTTAGAACTGCCAACCTCTGTCGGATTACAGCCAAGCCCTTAACCACTGCGCCATCAGAGCTCCTTTCAGTTACAATCTGTAAGTATAAATGGTGGTGGAATCTTTTAGAAAAGGATAATGTTGTTGTTGTTATTAAACACTGTTGAGTCAGTTGTGACTCATAGCAACCCTGTATAGGGATTCCGGGGAGTGGCTGGTGGGTTTGAACTGCCAACCTCGTGGTTCCCAGCCCAGTGTTGATCCTACACCAGTGGTCCATAATGGTGCTACAATATGAAAAATGTAATCCATGTCATTGAATTGTAAAATATAGAAGTTATTATATTGGTAAAAGTTTTGATGTACATATTTTTACCACCATTTAATATACACATTGTTGTTAAGTGGCGGTTCAACTCATTGCGACCCTTTATAGGGTTTCCGAGGAGCAGCTGGTAAGTTTGAACTGTCAACCTTACAATTCAAACCGACTTTTCAGTCCAATGCTGATCCTACAACACCACACTAGGACTCCATGGTTGGCAGTTCAAAACACAAGGTTGGCAGTTCAAACCCACCAGCCACTCCTCAGAAACACTATGCGGGATCACTATGACTAGGAACCAACATGAAAAGCACTTAGTAATAACATATATATATATGTCGACTGAAGGGCACCTGATGACAATAACAGGTCAAGGATGGAATTGACAAAATAGTTCATTCATTGCTCACATACTTGTTCAGAACCTCCCCATGCCCAGCACACTTCTAGGCACAGGGATGAACAAAGCAAAGTTCCCATTCCCTTGTTTATTCCTCAAGACCAACAATAAAAATAAAAATAATAACTAACCGTTATGTGACAGTGAGAAATGCTATGGAGGAAAAATAAAGTAAAAGGCATGAACAGTGGCCGGAAAGCTCTCTGAGGTGGTGATGTTGGAGAAGAAATCTGAAGCAGGTGAGGAGAGGTGCTATGTGGCTATCTGGGGAAATGGGGAAGGGCAGAGCCTCCCAGCAAAGGAGACAGCCAATGCAAAGGCCCTGGGGTTGGACGGTGCTAGAAGTTTTGAAAAGAAAGGCCAGAAGCCCAGAGACTCCACTCAGTGACACTGAGAAGAATTAGCAAGGAGAGGAAGTGGAAGATGAAGTCAGAGAGATGACTGAGGACTTTGTGAGCCTCAAAGAGAATTTAGCTTCTCTTCTGGGTGAGCCACAAGGGAGGATTCTGAGCAGAATGATGCACTCTGACTCACATTTTAACAGGATCCCTCTGGCTGTTTTATGGGAATAAATAGTAGAGGGTAAAGGCAGATGATGTTACAGTATTAACATATAGTTTCTGCAAGCCTGCAAGGGACCTGAGCTGGTATTTATGATTTCCATCCTCCATAGTCTTCTTCAAAACATCAGAATTCAAATGCATCAATCTTTCTTCTGTCTTCCTTATTCATTGTCCAACATTTACGTGCTGAGGAGGTGACTGAAAACACAATGGTTTGGGTAAGGCATGCACCTTAATCCTCAAGGTGGGACCAGTCCCTGGAGAAGGACACTATGTTTGGAAAAGTAGAGGACCAACAAAAAAGAGGGAAGACCCTCAATGAGATGGATTCATCCAATGGTTGCAACAGAAGGCTCAAACACAGCAGTGAGTGAGGCTAGTGTAGGGTTGCAACACTGTTTTGCTGTGACGACACGGAACAGCAACATCCTCTATATGTTATTGTGTGTCACTGAGTTAATTTCAACTCACAGAGACTCTAGAGTACAGGATGAATCAAAACTCCATTATAGGGTTTTCTGGGGTGCCATGTTTACCAGGGAGTCCTGGTGTGGCGCTGTGGGTTAATGCGCTGGACTGCAAAATCAGTTTGAATCGCAAGGTCAGCAGTTTAAGCTCACCAGTCGCTTCTCGGAAACCCTACACAGGGTCACTATGGGTCACTTAACAACAACAGCAATCTTTACCAGAGCATATTACCAGATCTTTCTCCCTCAGAGCCAATGGGTGGGTTCAGAGTGCCAATCATTTGTGTCATCAGAGCACCTCCTCCTGGTACACTTCATGTACTCCACCTAGAACTGCAGCTGCTTGGGGTCCATCCAGGCCCTGAAGAGCTGGGAGTAGGCATCTGGCATGGCAGCGTGGGTGCCTGTGCTTGGGGGCACGTGGGTCTGTCTGAGAGCTTGTATCCTGACTGCGGTGATGATCTAATGTGGGTGGATTCTGCTGTGAACCTTAAAAGTCTTTTCTGAGCACCTGCCCAGTGTTTGACTTGTGCTGGGCAGTGCTGGGAACACAGAGGTGACCACAGCTCACAGGCTCACAGCTCTGAGCAGGAGACAGACCTGACTCCAGATGGTAGCAACCCAGAGTGGGCAGGAGTCCAGCCTGGGGTGCACAGAGGGCTTCCTGGAGGAGGGGGTGGTATGGGTAATACGAGCAGGTCACCTTCCCCAATATTAACAAGAGCCTTGGAGGAGCAAATAGTTAAGCACTGGGCAGCTAACATAAAGGTTGGTGGTTTGAATCCACCCAAATGCTCTTCTGGAAAAAGACCTGGAGATCTGCTTCCATAAAGGTTACGGTCTCAAAAACCCTAGAGGGCAGTTTTACTGTGTTACATGGGGTCACTATGAGTGGACTCAATTCGATGGTATCCCGTATAACAGTCAAGATCTCCTGTGCCCTGATCAGTTTGACAATGACTTGAAATCTAAAAGACTTCTCTGTGTTTCATGTGACCCCCTCCCATTCTGTCCGAGGTCTCGGGAATCTCTCCCAGCATGACCAGCAACTCCCCATTCTGACCGGTGCCTCCTCCAGGGCTAGTTTCTCCCAGGTGATAATTGATCCCTCTACCACACCCCTGCTCAATCAATAAATCTGGGGGATTTGTCCAATTTGACCCGTAACCCCCAGTAGCACTTGTGACCCCCCACCTTCTGACAGGTAGCTGGGCCCCTCCCCCCATGCCAGGTGAACTGACCCTCCTCCCCTCCCCCACTCACCTGCTCAGGCCGGCCAGCGGGCTTCCCCTCCTTTCCCTCCAGGCTGGGAGGGAGCGCGGGGGAGTGCAGAGGAGCGAGGGAGGAAGAAGGGGGGGTGGCATTCCTGGGATTCTCTGGAGATGGGGGCGGAAAGGGAGGGCCCTACAGGGGAGAACACCGGCTGCCCCCGCCCCCCCCCCCCCCTCCCGGAGGACTGGGCGGAACTGGGATCTAAGGACCTGGAGATGTGGTTGAATTGGCCTGTTACAGACCAGTGGTCAAAGAAACCACTAATCACAGGGGAGGCCATACCGGGAGCAGCTGTTCTTAGGTCATTGGTCAGGCTGAGAACTACTGGGCAGACTGGTTAATACAACCCAGGCCACTGCTTAGAAATGGAATTCAGTGATTGTTCTACGGGTCCGGCCAGTTGTACTGGTGATACTGGGGTCTGCTGGTTCAAATGGACCATGTCACTGGCCTTAGTGGAAAGAGCCCCCAAGGCCCCTAGGCTGACTAAAGAGGGAGAGGTCAGAGCCCAAGCCACTGGCTAGACAGGTCCGTCAGGCCAGCCACGGGCGCTGGTCAGCCGAGTCAGGACTCGGGGCTTGGGGGCGGAGAGAGCCCCGCGCCCGCCTGCGGTGCGCAGGGAGGTCCGCTCCCGGGCAGTGGGAGGTCCTGGCTCAGCGCCCACACGGAGGAAGATTGGGGGGGGGGGGCAGGAGGGCGGGGCGGGGCGGGGCGGGGCCTTCTGCTCCCCTGCCCGACGCTGCTGAGCCGCAGGCAACCCCAGCTCAGTAGCCGCCGCCGCCGCCGCCGCTGCAGCGAACATGGAGCCCCCGGACGCCGTGGCCGGGGCGCGCCGGGCCTCGCGGCTGCTGCTCCTAACACTGCTACTTGGGACGCGCCCAGGTATGACTAGGGCTGAGAACAGGGGGGTAGCCCGCGGGACCCTGGGAGGGGAAGGGGCAAAATCTGGGGACTCCAGAGAGGAGGAAGCATTGAGGATACCCCTCCCAATGGGCACAGCCAGGCTGGGCAAGTGAGGACGGCATAGCAGTGGATCAGAAAGTACCAAGGAAACCAAGTCCTTTCCGTTCAGGAGTCTGAAGTCTGGGCACCCTGTATCCGCCCTGAAATCTGGGTCCCTAGACCCATCTTCCTCAGTCAAGCATCCAAGCCTCTTCTTCCTCAGGACTAAAAAGACCCGCTCAAATGTTCTCAAGTTTAGAGGACCTTTCAAAGAAGCTAGGGATATTGTGCCTAGAAATCGCCCAGTCGTGCTCAATTCTGGGGTTTTCCAGCATAGACTCCCAAACTCCAGAGACCCCGCCTGGCTCTGGCTAAAGGCTGGGGATGGCGCCCAGACTGTAACGGTGGAACAAAGTGTTTCCCAATGACAGTGCCCCCTTCCTGAGGCCCCGGAGAAATCCACACACCTGCGCAGTGGTGGGAGGGGAGGAGGCAGGGAGGCCCGGAGGGGACAGGAACTGAAAGAGAGGAGACCTCTCCGCCTTCCTGTCTCCAGCTCAGACCCTGCACCAGACTCCACCTGGGCCCCATGTTTTTCCCTCTGGGACCCGCTAGGGCAAGAAATGGGTGCCTGGGAATTCAGGCCCTTGGCACAAGCGTGGCAAAATAGTGGGTCCCTAGGGGCTGGGCTGGGTCAGGCTGAGCAGGGAAGGGAGGCTCAAAGAATTGAGGGCTGGTGCCAGCATGCCAACCGAGAGAATTAGAGAGTGGTTTCTGACAAAGAAGATTCTTTCTGCCTGGACCTAAGACCAGGAATCCAGGCCCCCTACCCCTTACTTTCCCAAGATTCGGCCCCCAGTCCCCTCCTCCCTCAGACCCAGGAATTCAAGGCCCTCGGCCCAGGCCCACCTCCTTCAAGACCCAGAAGTCCAGGCCTTCCTCCATGAATTAGGCTTCCTCCTACCAGAGGACCCAGGACCCTCAAGCATGACCACCCTACCCTGTTCTGGGGTGTCGCACCTTATCAGAGACAGGGGGGGCCAAAGGACGGGCAGGGGGCTCTGGCGCCAAGCTGGGCAGGTCTGAGCCAGCCTGTCCCTCCCACATTCCTGAAACCTGCCCAGCCCTGTCCCCCCTCACCACCCCCACGCACCCAGCCTGCCTAGCTCCAGGCCACAGCCCACAGCCCAGACCCTCCACTTATGAGGGAAGGTGGAGATCCAGAGACAGAGACTGAGGAACTGAAAGATGAACATGATGTACCAACACCAAAAATAGGCTGAGCCCAGGATGAGGGTCACCAGAAACAGAGATGGAGAGCAGAGTGGAGAGAGGCCAGTGCCTGCCTGTCCAGGAGCTGGAGGAGAGGACGAGCCAGCCTGGATCTGCTCTGATGGTGTTTGGTCCAGTGGGAGGCACAGGGTAGTGTTCAACAAGGGTGACTGAATGGCCATCCCCAGGACTCTCTGCTGCCCAGGAAGGAGCCCTCAACTGGGCGAGTCAAGGACTAGCTGCAGAAACGCTGACAAGGTCTGATTCAGAGACCAGAAGTGGAGGGGCTGGGGGCCCAGATGGACTTCTGGGTCAGAGAGGGGAAGAGCTGGGTGCCCAGACTCCAGGGTCTGGATTCCTGAGTCTGAGGGAGGAGGGACTGGGTACTGGACTCTTGAGTCTGAGGAAGGAGGAGCTGAGGGGCTGGACTCCTGAGTCTAAGGAAGGAGGGGCTCTGTCTGGTGGTCTTTTTGGAAGCGATGGATGAGCACCCTTGTTCTCCTGAAGGTGCTGAGGCTGAGCTGCATGTGTCCGTGCCCCCACTTGTGGAGGTGATGCGAGGGGAATCTGTCACTCTGGACTGCAGCCCCTCTGGGGACCACGACCATTATGAGCTGGAATGGTTTCTGGTGAGCGCTGTGGGCTGGGAGACAGGGAACTTGGGGCTGCAAAGGGTTACCTCGTCAGAGTCCAAAGGACCCTGTTTCCATTTCATATGTGGGACAACTGAGGCTCAGCAAGGACTCACAAGAAGCCTTGTTGGTACAGCAGGTTAGGCAAGGGCAGTAGTTCAGACTCACCAGGTGCTCCTTGGGAGAAAGATAAGGCTGTCGGCCTCTGTGAAGATTTACAATCCCTAAGAAGCAGTTCTACTGTGTAATGTAAAGTCAGTATGAGTTTATGACAGTTGGTTTGGATTATTTTGGAAGACTCACAAGGTCCCCTGGTATCTGGGTGCAGCTAAGACTATAGTAACATCCTCCTTCAGAGGGAAAGAGAACATTCTGGAGACCTGAGGGCAGGTTTCAAGAGAGAAAAAGACTTGTTATAATCTGAGTTGATTCCAACTTCTTGTGATAGAGCAGAACTGCTAAGAAAAATTACAACTTTCTTAGTAGCAATCTTAAGGATGCCTTAAGGTGGCACTCTGGATTAGGCATTGGGTCCTAGCCAAAAGGTCAGTGGTTCAGATCCACCAGCCGCTCCTAGAGAGAAAGATGAGACGGTCTACCGCCCCTGTAAAGACTGACGCTGTCTGAAGCCCTAAGGAGCAGTTCAACTCCATCGTGTAAGATCACTAGGATTTGGCATTGACTCGATAGCAGTGAATTTGGTTTGATTTTTAATTTTAATATTTACAGAAGCAGATCACCAGATCTTTCTTCCTTGAGAGAAAGAGAAGGAGGGAAAATGAGAGCCAGGTGGAGAGGAGGAGATAGCGGGAAAGAAAGATGAGAACAGAATGAGATGGAGAAAGGGAGAGAGAGAAAAAAGGAAATGAAGAGATAAGCAAGCAAAGGGTGGAAAGAGAAGGAGAAAGGGAGAGCGAAAACCAGTAAGGAAGGGCCCACAGAGGGGCAGAAAGAAAGGGACTGAGGGGAGATGGGAAGGAATGGAGGAGAGCTGGGACTGGCAGCCCATGCTGAGACCTCACCTGCCTGTAGACAGACCGCTCCGGGGCCCGCCACCTCCTGGCCTCAGCCCAGCTTCAGGGCTCCGAGCTACAGAGCACCATGCATGACACACCGGCTCGCAGGCCCCCGTACCAGCTGGACTCTCGGGGACGCCTGGTGTTGGCCAAGACCCAAGTGGCCGATGAGCGGGACTATGTGTGTGTGCTGAAGGCTGGGGCGGCGGGCACTGCTGAGGCCACAGCCCGGCTCCGCGTCTTTGGTGAGTGTCCAGGGGCTCCCGGGGGTGAGGAGGCAGGTGAGGAAGGTACTGATCCTGACTTGATTATCTTCTCCATAGCTAAACCAGAGACCACGGAGGTTGAGCCCAACAAAGGGACACTGTCAGTGATGGAAGACTCAGCACAGCAGGTACCTCAGGGGTGAAGCTGAACAGAGGAGGGGTCTGGACTCCTGGATTTAAGGGAGGAGGGGATGGGGGCCTGGACTTCTGGGTCTGAGGGAGAAGGGAGTTGGGGGCTTAGACTCCTGGTTTGAAAAAAGAGCGGGCTGGGAATTTGGACTTCTGGGTTCTGAGACAGGAAGGGGCTAGGGACAGGATTTCCCAGATGGAGGGAGGAGGGATGCGGGGGGGGGGGGGCATGGATTCTTGATTCTGAGGGAGGATGGGGCTGGGGGCTGAACTTCTGGGTCTAAGGGAGGGAGGGGGCTAGGGACTGGATTTCCAGCTCAGTGAGGAGGTCCTGGGGGCCTGGATTCCTAAAACAAGGGAGCAGAAGGGATTGGATCTGACCCAATGAGGGCTCCTGAGGGAGGAGGGACCAGCGAGTTCTTGGCTCTGAGCCCAGGGCCATGTCTGTGTCTGCCTCTCAGATCGCCACCTGCCTCAGCCGGAATGGGAACCCAGTCCCCCAGATCAAGTGGTATCGGAATGGAAAGCTCCTGGAGGTGCCCACGGAGGTGAACCAGGGTGAGCAGTGCTATAGTCGTGAGGGCGGGAGTGGGGGGTGGCTGGGAGCCGCTGACCGCCTTTCCTGTCTCTCCCAGATGGCTACACAGCCAGCCGCACCACTCGGGAGGCCTCGGGCCTGCAGTCCCTCACCAGTGTCCTGTACCTGCGGCTCCACAAAGCTGACCGGGATGCCAACTTCTACTGTGCTGCTCAGTACAGCCAGCCCCAGGGCCACCTCGGCCACCTGGACAGCCCTGCCTTCCACCTCACCCTGCACTGTGAGTCCACACAGATACCTGACCAGTCACCTACCTACCTCACACAGATATGTATGCTGGTGCTGACCTCCAACCTCTAACCCTTGACCTCCCATAGCATCCTAACCTCATCAACTTTCATAACTGAACATTGAATCGCCCCCACCCCCCACCTCAGCACTCACCTCACAGTGAATCTGGTCCCAATACAGCATCAGTCTCCCGATCTTACACTGCCCTGTCACTCACACTGACCTCTGACCCTTGACCTGTAACCTGAACATCTCTCAACTTCTTACCTCTGATCCCTGATCTTAGATGACATTGGAACCTGAGCCTTCAAACATGTGACTTCTAACCTTTGACCAGCCTTAGTACTGTTGTCGCATACTTAATTCAGTCCTGTCTCTCACCCCTGACCCCTCATCTCGCTGCCCTTTCCTTAGATCCCACAGAGAAGGTGCAATTCTGGCGAGCCAGCCCATCAACCACAGAGGGCTGGGTACGAGAGGGTGACACGGTCCAGCTGCTCTGTCGGGGGGATGGCAGCCCCAACCCGGAGTACACCTTTTTCCGTCTTCAGGTGATGACCCCATTGCCCCTTTGGGACCCTAGCTATAGTAAGACCATCACCAGCGCTAGCTTCTAACGTTTGACCTGAGTGGCTGTTCACCAGATTGACCAGTTAGCCAAAGGAAACCCTGAGCCCTAACTGGAGAGGATCCGAAGTTAGCATCAGGAGCCCTGGTGACGCAGTGGGTGAAGCTTTGGGCTGCTAACTGCAAGGTCGGTGGTTCAAATCCACCGACTGGATGAAAGTTGTGGCAACCTGCTTCTGTAAAGATGATGCCCTGGGAAACGCTGTGGGGTAGCTGTTCTCTGTCCTACAGGAACGTGGCTGTGAGTTGGAATCGACTCAGTGACATTGGATTGGATATGGTTTGGGTTTGACCTCTGACCTACAGGATCCCTAAGCCCTGATTTGAGAGAATCCTGGCTTAGCATAGGAGCTCTGGTGGTGCTGTAGGATAAGCAATGGGCTGCTAACAGCAAAGTAGGTAGTTCAAATCCACCAGCCACTCCTTGGGAGAAAAATGAGGCTGTCTACATCTGTAAAGATTTATAGTCTTGGAAACCTTACACAGGGTCACTATGAGTCAGAATTGACTCAGTGGCAGTGAGTTCACCCTAGCATAAAGTCCCTGGATAGCACAAACAGTTTGCACAGGACTCTTAATCCGAAGGGAGCACAATGGCTTCATATGATAAGCATTGGACTGTAAACTACAAGGTCCACAGTTTGAGCCCACCAGCCATTCCACAGGAGTAAGGAGAGACTTAATGCTCCCTGGAAGATTTAGAGCCTCAGAAACCCTATACAGAGTTGCTATGAGTCAGAATTGACTCCACGGCACTTAACAACAACTTAACCCAAAGGATTTACCCGAAGGCGCTGCAGAAGAAAGGTCTGGCAATCTGCAGCCATAAAGATGACAGCCAAGACAACCCTATGCAGCAGTTCTGCTCTGTAACACATGGTTTCCATGAGTCAGAACCAACTCAATAGTTACTGTTTGTTGCTGTTTGACATGAGCATGATAATTACTTTGGGCGATCTCTGACCCCTGAGTTGAATGGGTTCTGACCTAATTCTATACTAACCTGGTTGGTAGCCCCTGACTCAGCTTTGGGTGACCCCTGAGTTAGTTGGACCCTGACCACCTGGAATGGCTTCTGAAACATGGTTCCTCATTCTGGGCCCCCAGAACCAGCAGGAGAAAGTGCTGAATACCAGCCTCAATGGGAACTTGACCCTGGAGGGCGTGCGACGGGGCCAGAGTGGCACCTACGGCTGCAGGGTGGAAGACTATGATGCCCCCGATGACGCAGAACTTTCCCAGACCCTGGAGCTGCGTGTGGCCTGTGAGACACTGGGAGAGGGCAGAGGGAGTGTATGGGCTCTTGTATTCACTGCCGCCTCACCTTCACCCACTTTCTGGAAGATTCTGCCTCCAAAACTTTGTCTCCCTGTCCCAGCCAGGTGCCTCCTCTCCCTCTGGTCCCTGCTTCAGTCTGTTGTTCATCCAACCCACGTGACACAAGACAGCTAGAGCACTCTCTTTTATTTTCATACAGTTTTATTTTTTATTTCTTTATTATTATTTTTTTAACTCACCTCTTTATTGTGAATGGGGTAAAGGTTTACAGAGCCGATCACCAGTTTGACATTCAACAAATCATACGCATTTTGTGTTTTTTTTTTGTTTTTTTTTCTTTCTAACTTTTAAGTGTGGATTAAGCAAAGGTTTTATAGGGCAGATCATCAACTTTACATTCAGCAAATCATATGCTTTTACTTCATGACAATGGTGGCAATTCTCTGCATGTACCAATTGTTGTTGTTAAGTGCCATGGAGTCAGTTCTGACTCATAGTGACCCTGCATAGGGTTTCCAAGGAGCGACTGATGAGTTTGAACTGCCAACCTGTGGTTCAAACCAACCTTGCTTTATTCCACAGCACCAGCATATACCACATTAACAGTATTTACCTCTGTTCGTTTTAGCTATTGCATTCCTCCCTGTGTTTCCCGCTACCTTTGTCTTTCCTCTGCTAACCTCCTTCTTGTTGTCTACTGTCTGCCCTATCACCCATGTCTTTAGATTTTTTAAGAAATTATTTTATTTTTGTTGTCAGAGAATAATACAGCAGAACATACACAGAGTCAACAGTTTCTACCCATACAATTCTGTGACATGGATATGTTGTAGCAAGCCTGCCTCCTGGCCGCCAGCTCTCAGTCCCTCTCTTTCCATGAGTCTAGAGTCTTTAGCTGCTCCCTCTCTCCATGTCCCCATCTCTGCCTCCATCTCTGGTGTCGCTGCTTCTCTGGATAAGGTCTCACATTCCGCTTGTGCTCTTCTCCCTTGATGGTCCTAGGGTCCTCTGTTTCTGGATTGTAAGATTAACTACTCCCCTGCTTTTGTTACAAAACGTCTTCCTTTACAGTTGTGACAGTCGCAATTAGTCATAATAACAATTGTTGTTGTTAAGTGCCGTCGAGTCGGTTCTGACCCATAGCTACCCTGTATAGGGTTTACAAGAAGCAGGTGGTGAGCTTGAACCACCAACCTTGCAGTTCAAATGGCTTTGCAGTCTGGCATCTGGCGCATTAACCCACAGCGCCACACCACACCAGGACTTGTTGATAACAATTGTTGTTAAGTGCCGTCGAGTCAGTTCCGACTCATAGCAACCCTGTACAGGGTTTCTGAGGCTATGAATCTTTATGGGAGCAGAAAGCCTCATCTTTCTCCCGCGGAGCGGCTGGTAATTTCAAACTGCTGGCCTTCAGGTTCGCAGCCCGATTCGTAACCACTACGCTACCAGAGCTCCTTGATAACAATTACTCACTATTTAATCATGAGAATCTTATTCCCATCTCTTTTCACCAGACCCATCTAGACAAGATGAAAACTATATAGTAGGGACTCTGTCTTTCCCTGCACACTCTTAAACTAAACTCCCTCTTGAAAACTTTGTGGCTTTATATCCCCCTCATTTTTGGTAGCCAATGTCGATAAGTTGCCTGTCCCTATCTACCCTGTATACAGAGGGGATATAGGATTGATACTTGACAAGAAGACTCCTTCCCTCAGTTGGTATTCTGAGCTACTACATCCATGAATATAGGTCAAGTTCATCAAAATGGTAGCAATTTACCCTTGTTTCCTTTATAAAAAATTGTTTTTTTTTTTTATCTTCCTCTAGTCAAGGTCTGATTATCAAGCCATTGGGACTAGGTCAAATGGGTACTATCTGCAAGTCTGGGTGTTCTTGTGTGTCTCTCCTCAGTTCATATCAGCTGAATATTTCACTCTCTTCCCAGTTTGTTGAGAAATCTTAAGCCACTCGTACCTAAGCTATGTGGGAGCGTTTTGTTCCTTCTCAGGACTTCATATGAGAGACCTAAGCAGTCCCTGAGTGTCACAAAGGGTTAAATGCTTGACTACTAATCAAAATTAGTGATTTGAATCCACCCAGAGGCACTTTGGAGTGCTGGTGTGACACTGTAAGATAAGCACTGGACTACTAACTGCAAGGCCAGTGGTTCAAACTCAACCAGTCACTCCTGAGAACCCTATACAGGGTCGCGATGAGTCTGAATCGACCCAACAGCACTTAGCAACAAGAGGCACCTTGGACCTTACCTGGACCTAGGTGAGGTGCTGGGCTTGCTTTTTCTTTTTCTTTTTTTAACTTTTTATTGTGAATTGAGTGAAGGTTAACAGACAAGATCATCAGCTTTACATTCAACCAATTAAATTCTTTGTTTCATCTCAGTGACTACAATCCCCTCTCTGCAACAACAGTTATCCCACTTCCTCCCTGCAGCTTCCTTTATACATCTTATATTTCACAAAGGAACAAAGCACAAAATTTTTGATGTACACATACAAAACAAAAAAAATCTATATTCATTTAAATGTCCAAAGGGCATATTCTGCAAGCCAGCCTCCTGCCCGCAAGCACACAACCTTACTCAGTCCTAGAGCCAGAAGCTGCTCTGCCTCTCCAGGCCATCGCCTCTGCCACTGTCTCTGCTGTCCCCACATTTCTAGCTTGGGCTTTCTTCTGAGTGGCAATGGGGAGCCATGGCAGGTTCTGAGCAGAGGAGGGTCAGATTTGTGCTTTAGAAAGAACCTTCTGATCAACTGCTCTCTAACTCCAAAGTGTCACAGTGTAGAACATAATTAATCTGAAACCACTCAATGGCAATGAACAATGAGAACCTACCCACCCTTACCTGGAACCAGATGTGTGCCCCAGCACCTGTAAACAAGGCAGGCTGGCCCCCACCTCCCCAGAATGGGTGAATGCTAAAGAAGACACTTTGGGTAGTAATAAGACAGCACATAGGAATAATGCAGGGTGATGAGACGAGGGGTTGCCTGGATGTATTTTAAATAAGGAGATTTGTGTTGCCGGAAAGCAGATTTTGATTTGGAGATATGCAGGCAGGAAGTTTCTCTGAGAATACCTTGGAAACAACCGAAACAATGGACTCAGGCAGCTTATTGTTAAGTGCTGTTTAATTGGTTCTGACTCAGCCACTCTACCTACAACAGAACAAAACACTGCCAGGTCCTGTGCTAGCCTTACAATTTTTATGTCTCAGCCCACCGTGGCATAAACTTGTCAGTCCATTTCCTTAAGGGCCTACCTCTTTTTCACTGACCCTCTACATCACCAAGCATAATGGCCTTCTCCAGGGGCTGGTTCTTCCTCATAACACGTCCAAAGTCAATGTGATGAAGTCTTGTCCTCTCCACTTTAAGGAGTATTCTGGCAATCCTTTCCCTAAGACATTTCTTTGTTCTTCTGGCTGTCCATTCAATATTCTTGGCCAGCATCATGATTCAAATGCATTGATTCTTCGTCTTCCTTATTTATTGACCTGCTTTGGCACTTATATGAAGTAATTGAAAATACTATGGCTGGGGGTCAGGCTCACCTTAGTTTTCAAAGTGACATCTTTGCTTTTCAACATTTAAAGAGGGTTTTTGCAGCAGCTTTGCCTGATGCAATACGTCATCTGATTCCATGCCTGTGTGCTTCTAGGATAATGCACTGGACTGCTAGGTTGTTTGGAATTGCAAGGTCAGTGGTTCAAATTCACCAGCTGCTCCTCGAAAACCCTATACAGGGTCGTTGTGAGTAAGAACTGACTCGAGGGCACATAATAACAACAACACCACTCCCGTGAAGGAGCTGTAGAATAAGTAGTGTAGAATAAGCTAACCACAAGATTGGTGGTTCAAACCCACCAGTTGCTCCTCGTTATGAGTTCGAGCCAACTTGACAACACTTAACAACAACACACACTCCCATGAAACCCTTGACAATCTTTTCTCAGTTTATCATGATGTTGCTTATTGGTTCAGCTGTGAGGATTTTAGTTTTCTTTATAGTGAGGTGTAATTCATTACACTAGTAAGTGCTTCAAGGCCTCTTAGCTTTCAACAAGCAAGGTTGTGTCATCTGCATATTGCAGAATGAGCCTTTCTCCAATCCTGTTACCACCCTCTTCTTCATAGAGTCTAGCTCCTTGGATTATTTGCTCAGCATACAGACTGAATACGTATAATGAAGGGATACAATCCCGACGAACGCCTTTTCTGATTTTAAACCATGAAGTATCCCCTTGTTCTTTTCAAATGTTTGCCTCTTGTCTGTGTGCAAGTTCCTCATGAGCACAATTAAGTGTTCTGGAATTTCCATTCTTTGCAATGTTACCCATAATTTGTTTTATCCACACAATCAAGTGTTTTGCATAATCAGTAAAACACTGGTAAACATCTTTCTGGTATTCTCTGCTTTCAGCCAAGATCCATCGGACATCAGCATTCATATTCCTCCTTTTGAATCCAGTTTGAATGTACTGCTGTAACTGTTCTGACTTATTGCCTGCAAAGTTTTAATTGCATGTGATATTAATGATGTTGTCCAATAATTCCTGCTTTTTGTTGGATCACCTTTCTTTGGAATGGACTCAAATATGGATCTCTTCCAAGCAGTTGGCCAGGTAGCTGTCTTCCAAATTTCTTGGCAGGGTGAGTGAGTGTTTCCAGTGTTACATTCATTTTTTTGAAACACCTCATTGAATATTCTGTCAATTTCTTAAACCTTGGTTTTCGTCAGTGCAGCTTGGACTTCTTCCTTCAGTACCATCAATTCTTTTTCTTTTTTTTTTTTAAAGTTTTTATTGTGAACTGAGTGATAGTTTACATGGGAGAACATTGGCTTTACACCATCATTTCATTGCAGTGATTATAGTCTCCTCCGTGCATCATCATTCAACAGCATTTGTTTCCATTCCCTTTGTTTGTGTTAGAGGGGGGGATGTACACAAAAACACTCAGGAATATATAATAATTTAAACAACCAAAGGACACATTCTGCTGGCCTGCCTCCTGGCTGGCCGCCAGCACCCAGTCCCTCTCTCCATGTCCCCATCTCTGCCTCCATCTCTGGTGTCGCTGCTTCTCTGGATAGAGTCCTGTATTCTACTTGTGCTCTTCTTCCTTGATGGTCTTAGGGTCCACTGTTTCTGTACTGTAAGATTAACTACTCCCCATTTTTGTTACAAAACTTCTACCTTTATAGTTGTGACAGTTGCAATTAGTTATGATAACAGTTACTCACTATTGAATCATGAGAATTTTATCCTCATCTCTTTTCACCAGACCCATCTAGACAAGATGAAAACTATTCAGTGGGGTTTCTACCTTCCTCCACACACTCTTAAACTAAACTCCCTCTTGAAAACTTGTAAGCCACTCACTTCATGCCTTTATCTCCCCCTCATTTTAGGTAGTCAATGTCTAAGCTGCCCTTCCCTGTCTATCCTATATACAGAGGGTATAAGATTAATACTTGATGTGAAGACTCCTTCTCTCTCTTGGTATTTTGAGCTACTGCATCCATAAATGTAGGTCAAGTTCATCAAATTGTAGCAATTTACCCTTGTTTCCTTTATCAAAAATTATTAATACCATCAATTCTTAATCATCTGCTACCTCCTGAAATGGTTGAATGCCAACCAGTTCTTTGTGGGTATCTCAATTTCTGCATATTCTTTCCATCTTTTGATGCTTCCCACGTTATTCAATGTCTTGCTAATGTTGTTGTTGTTAAGTCGGTTCCGACTCATAGTGATCCTGTATAGGGTTTCTGAGGAACAACTGGTGGGTTTGAACCTTCTACCTTGCTCTTCGAAATCCAGTGCCTATCCTACATAGAATCCTTCAACATCGCAACTCAGCACTTGTTTTGTCTTGATTCTTTCAGCTGGAGAAATACTGAGCAGTTCTTCCCCTTGAGTTTCCTAACTCCAGGTCTTTGGACATTTCATCAATGCTTTACCAGCATTCACAAGTTTCAGAGTCTCTTCTGATGGCTACATTGTTGATTTGTTTGTTTATTTCTCCTTCCTTTCCTGTCTTTCCAATGACCTTTTGCTTCCTTCATGGCCTAGAACCAGGCAACCTTTTGTTCTGTCATATGTAGGGGCACTGTGAGTCACAGCCCATGCAAGGACAGCTTAACAGTTGTCACCAGTTTGGAATTGACGTCTGCTGGGGGAGGGATGAAGGCAGCAGAGAAGGGCATGGTGAGAAGTATGGCTGTGATACCATTACAGTAAGACCTCAGTTGTCCTCACAGGGCACTTAGAAGCTGAGCTGGCCTTTCAGAATTTGGGGAGCTAGGCTTTTGTATCCCCTCTGGGTGTGGGCTGCTCCCGGAAAGGGGCCTGACCTTGGGCAAGGGGGCTCTTTGCAGCTGTGGCCATTTCCAGAGAAGGCTGACAGCTGACAGGCTTCTTGGCAGCTGGAGGAATAAATCCTGGAGTAGGCATCTGGGTTTCCACAACAGGTGGTCAGGGAGGCCTTTCTGAGAAAGGGACATTTGAGCAAGGACACAAAGAATGGGAAGGAATGAGAAACTCGAAAAGCTAGAAGAGTCTTCCAGGCAGAGTGAACAGCTAGTGCAAAGGCCCTGGGGCAGGGCCTAGTCTGACTAACAGCAAGAGGACATGGTGGTTGGAACTTCTTGGGAAAGGGTGAGAGGGAGAGTTGATGCCACTAGGTTAGGTGCCAGTCATGGTGTCGCACACACACACACAGCATCCCGTACCATACAGCATCCTTAGTAATGCATAGTATCAATTATAATCATAGCATACTATGGCATCAATGTAGTTGTAAATAGTACAAGTACAGCCGGAATGTGCTCCTCAGAAGCGAGAATGGTAAGACTTTGTCTCTCGTAATTTGGACATATTACCGGAAGGGACCAGTTTCTGGAGAAGGACATCATGCTTGAAAAAGTGGAGGGTCAGTGAAAAAGAGGAAGACCCCCCCAATACGATGGACTGATACAACGGCAGCAGCAGTAGACTCAAACGTAACATTGTGAGGTTGGCACAGGACAAGGCAGTATTTCCTTCTGTTGTGCATGGGATTGTTATGAGTTGAAACTGACTTGACAGCACTTAACAACAACATAGTTATAAATAAGGAACCCTGGTGAAGCTATAGGATAAGAACTGGACTGTCAACTACAAGGTCGGCAGTTCAAACCCACCAGCTGCTGCATGGGGGGTGGGGGGGGAAGTAAGGTTTTTTTCTGCTGTACAGATTCACAGCCTTGGAAAGAAACCTTATACAGGGTTGTTATGAGTTGGAATCAACTTGATGGCAATGGATTTGATTCATTTTACTTACAACTGTAAATGGCTTAAATGTCAGAGATCTTGTAGCTGTCAAGTGCTGTTGAGTTGGTTCTAACTCATAGCCACCGTGTATATGGTTTCTGAGGCTGTAAATCTTTGTGGGAGCAGAAAGCCGTATCTTTCTCCTGTGGAGCAGCTGGTGGGCTCGAACCACAGACCTTGTAGTGCTTATCCTACAGAGCCACCATGCTCCATCACATTTCTTAGATGATGTAGATACAAGCCACACAATTGTTCTGTAAAAACTTTCTATCTGAATTACAATGTTATTAGTACTACAACATGATAGTAACGGAGCGGAAGCCTTTTACGAGTTTTCTTCCTTTTTTCCTTTAATTGCTACTTCATTCTCAAAAAAAGATATAGATATAGGTTCACAGTTTCTCCTTGCTTGCTGTAATAGTTTAGCTACAAAATCAGAAAATCTGGCAAAGTCAGCAACTCTGCTAACACCAGCAGCAACAGAAACAGTGCCTGCTTGCAAAACCTGCAAATGAAATCACATGATCGGAAGAGTCACTGTGATTGGGTAATAATGACAGCTCTGATGGGCGTGCTCTTGTTACGTGCTGTCTAGTCATCCCAACTCATAGTGACCCTGTTTAGGGTTTCTGAGGAGTGGCTGGTGGGTTTGAACTGCTGATCTTGTGGTTTGTAGTCCAATGATGATCCTACAGTGCTACACCAGGAGGCCTTGGCTCCTACTTGTTGCCGTCAAGTCGATTCTGACTCATAGTGACCCTGTATGGGGTTTCCAAGGAGCTGCTGGTGGTTTTGGACCACTGACCTTGCAGTTCAAACCCACCTAGTAGTCAGGAGTTTATCCTATGGTGCCACCTCAGGACTTCTGACGGGCACACAGAAAAAAAGGAAAGTAGCATTGAGTTTTTGCCTTATAGATTTAATGACACCCTAGAAGCTGGGCTTATGCAAAATGTTTTTGTTGTTAAAACTAGCTACAGGGACATTTTCATTTTAAAAAGTAAATTTCTGCTGAAACATTGCACAAAAATTTTATTGACAGTCTTTTGGTAATGAGACTCACAAACACACACACCAGCGATGCCACTGGAGGGTGGGAGCAGAAGCTAAAGAGGTGGGCGGGGCCAGACCAAACAGGATTTTATAGGTTGTGATGGAATTTAATCTTGATGCTGAGGGTACTGGGGAGCCACTGCAGGATTTGAAGCAAAAGAGAGAACTAACCAATGTGCATTTTGAAAAGACCCCCTCTGGTTGCTAAGTGGAAGATGGACTAGAAAGGACAAGAATGGCTGCAGGGAGGCAGACCTTTGAGGAGGTGATTGTGGGGTTCCAAGCTTTAGGGGGGAAGTGGAGATAAAAGGGAGGGTCCACTTTGAAGGCTGGGTGGAGGGCAAGGCTTGGAGACAATTTAACGCCCCTGGTGTTCTTCTTTAAACTCAAGTTCAATGTCAGCTCTGAAAGAAAGGTGTGTCTAGTGGGCCTTATTTAGAGTTTGGCTCGAGGGCTTAGATGTGGGGGGTGGGGAATGGAGATTTCGTGAGAGGAAGAATCGTTGGTATTCTGTGTTTCAGAGCATCAATAATGTCTCTCTGGAGTGGGTGAGAGGTTGGGAAAGTAACCGGGTCTTTGCCCCCTGTCCAGACCTGGATCCACTGGAGCTCAGCGTGGAAAAAGATCATTCCATGCTACTGGGTAGCAGCGTAGGTGTGAACTGCTCTGTCCGAGGCCTGCCCACGCCTGTCCTGCACTGGAGCAAGGTAAGGGGAAGGGGCCCCAGCCCATACACCCTCCTCCCTTCCTGGAGCCTGCCTCCTCATGACCTTGTCTCTGCCCTCCTGTCTCTCCCCTCCCCAGGACTCGGCTCCCCTGGGAGATGGCCCCATGCTTTTGCTCAACTCTGTCACTTTCGACTCTGCTGGTACCTACGTATGTGAGGCCTCCATGTCTACAGTGCCCCTCTTGAGCCGCACGCAGAGCTTCAGGCTGCTGGTCCAAGGTCTGGGGTGGGGGGCAGGCCTGGATGGGAACAATGGGGTGGGAGACTAGGTGGGACAGGACATACCATGGCTGGACCCTTCCTCCCTCCCTCTTCCCCTCTTGTTATTTCCCTCCCTCTTCCCCTCTTGTTATCTTGTTAGTGGCTCACAGACCACCCCACACATGCAGTGAGAACTACTCCATTGGGTTTTCAAGGCTGTGACCTTTTAGAAGCAGATCTCTAGACCTGTGTTCTGAGGTACCTCTGGGTCAATTCCAACCACAACATAGAAGTTTCTGTGGGTTGCCAAATGCGTAACCGTTTGCCACTCCCACCCCACAGGAATTCCTGACTCCTCTCTAAAAAAAAAAATAAAAACAAACTAAACCCACTGATATTAAGACAATCTCGACCCACAGAGATTCTCTATGAGGTTTCCAAGGCTATAAATCTTAATGGGAACAGGCAGCCTCAACTTTGTCCCTTGGAGCAGCTGGTGGGTTTAAACCACCATCCTTGTGGCCACAGCATCACCAGGGCTCCTGGTCTTCTAGCCCTTTCCTTTTTTTCTTTCTCTCTTTGATTCCCTGCCCCTACTATTCTCAGGATCACCAGAGCTGTGGGCTGAAGAGACACAGCCCAAAGGCGAGGGCAGCTGGCAGGAAGGAGATGAAGTCAAGTTGATCTGCTCTGCCCGGGGTTACCCAGAGCCCAAACTCACCTGGAGCCAGCTGGGCAGCAGTGTAAGAGACCCCCTCCCTGGGAACCTGGGCACCCTTCACCATTGTCCTCCCTCAGACCTTGGCGCCATGGGTGCAGGCCTGACCCCAGCCTCCTCAGCCAGCAGAGCCGGCCCCTGGAAGGCAGGGCTGGGTGAGCAGCTCCCTCACCCTGAAGGTGACCAGCGCCCTGAGCAGAGACGGTGTTTTCTGTGAGGCCTCCAACCCCCATGGGAATGCTCGGCACGTCTTCCACTTTGGTGCCGGTGAGTAGCCATGGGGGCGCAGGGTAGGGAGCCAGAGCCCTGCTTGCTGACTGTCTCCTCTGTTCGGTGCCTACAGTGGCCCCCCAGACTGCCCAGGCAGGAGTGGCTGTCATGGCTGTGGTCGTCAGTGTGGGTCTCCTGCTCCTGGTTGTTGCCACCTTCTATTGCATGAGACGTAAGGGACGTCCTGGCTGCTGCCGGCGCGGAGAGAAAGGGGCGCCGTGAGTGACCCGCAGCCTCTAAATGACCTCTGTGATCCTGCCTATCTCTAGCTCCAACCCTGACCTCCTCCGCATCTCAACCTCAAAGTCAACCATATCCCCAACTCTATGATCAGCTGAACCCCAATCCCATCTCCAACCCAAAACTCAACCCACGTTGTTAAGTGCTGTCGAGTCAGTTCTGACTCCTGTCAACCTTGTATAGGGTTTCCGAAGGGTGGTTGGTAGGTTTGAACTGCCGACCTTATGTCATTCTATGTCCAGTGTTTTTTCTATAGCACCGCATCTGGACTCCAAAGTCAACCCATAGTTAAACCTAATTTAGCCTCATCCCAGTCCACAATCTCCTCTCCAGCCCCAAATTCATTCCCAAACTAAACCTCATTTCCAACTCCAACCCATAACCAGCCCCCAAACCATCCCTATTTCCAAACCCAATTTAACTCCATGCCCATCCCCAATCCACCCCCATTGCCAATCCCAAACCCAACCTATGACCATCCCCAAACCATCTTCATCTTACTGATCTCCAGCCCCACCCAACTCCATCCCATTCTCAATCCCAGCCTGAACCAACTTCATCCTCTTCCCCACACCTCTCTCCAATCCTATTTCCAATTTCCAACTGCAAACCCGACCCATAAACATCCCCAAACACATTGCCATCACCAACTTGATAGCATTCTAATCCTACCCCCACCTCATCGTCAATCCTACCTTCTATCCCTAACACTTATGTCATCTTCCATTCCCACGGCCATCCCGATCCAGCACACCATCTTTAATCTTTCCATCCCCACCCAACACAACCCCATCTCCATCCTTCTATCCCTACCCAGTGCAACTCATTCCCTATCTTTCCATTCCCAACCCAATTCACACCCCACCCCAGCCCCAGTTCCTTCCCCATATCTGACCGTTTGTGACATGCCACCTCCTCCCTGCAGACCACCTGGGGAGTCAGAGCTAAGCCACTCGGGAGGAGAGCGGCCAGAGCAGACAGGCCTTCTCATGGGAGGCGCCTCTGGAGGGGCCCGGGGTGGCAGCGGAGGCTTTGGAGATGAGGTGGGTGAGGGTATGGACACCCTGGTTGGGGGATGTGGGTTGCTGGGCAGTGGCATGGCCTCCATGGGCACAGACTGACGCTCTCTCCACCTCCTTCCTAGTGCTGAGCCTTCAGAGGTGGTCAGTGGACCCAAAGCTGCAGTGAGCATCACAGGACCAGAAAGCAGGCCTTGATCCTGCCTCTGCTCCCGCCCGCCCCCGCCTTCCCTGTCCCTGTCCCCTCTCTGGCCCTCTCTTCCTTCCTCTGCCTGGGCTGGACCAAGGGCAGCCTGCTGACTTGGAGAAAGAGACAAAGGGAGGGAGCCTTCCTCTGGGGAGTGTGACTCCCAGGCCTTAGAATAGTTCCTGGACCCAAGCCCAGGCCCTGGCTTGGGATGAAGCAAGCCTGGAGGGTCGGACAGCCGGGTCTATTTTTAAACCGCCTGCCTCCCTTGCTGCCTCCCCCCCACACACCTGATTGCCCTGCTGCGTAGTCTGACACTGGATCCCCCCCCACCCAGTCCCTTCATCTATGGACACTGGAGTCTGGAATAAATGCTGTCATGTCACGTGGACACCAACCTGCTGCCAGAGCCTCCCCTGGGGGCGGGGAGGGCAGGGGGGACACAGGTAACACCCCACTGCCCATTGTCCCCAAAAGAAGCCTAATGTCATGGAGGAAGGCAAGACTTGAGAAGAGCTGAGTGCTTCTGCTAACCCAGGATGGAGGAAAGGGGACCAGGGTCTAGAGACTGGTGGGCTGGCCCCTGCTTGGGGGCTGGGGGGCTGGCCCTATAAGCAAGAGTTCCTAGATCTTGTCAGAGTCCCAGATGGAGCTGAAACCGGGAGAGGAAAAACTCCCTCTTAGTTGCAGAGTGGATGGAATTGGGGATGGAGCCACCTCCTCGGGGAGGTCTCAGTCCCTGGAGACAGAAAGAACTGGAATTCAGAGAATTCTTCATTGAGTCTATGCCATGTCTCAGGGAATAGATCTTATGCTCCAGAGGGGTTTCAATGACTGATTTAGCAGAAGTAGAATGGCGGGCCCATCTCCAGAGGAGCCTCTGTGTGGACTTGATTCTCCAACATTTTGGTTAGTGGTCAAACACGTTAAAGGCTGGTGGTTTGAAGCCACCAGAGTCTGCGCCAGTGGAGAAAAGATGCAGTAGTCTGCGTCTAACTAAAGCTTTTCAGCCTTTAGAGCAGTTCCACTCTATTCTACTTGGTCACTGTGAGGTGGAATTGGCTCTATGGCAATGGGTTTTGTTTATTTGACTTGTTCTCTCTGTAGTAGAATTGACTATTTAAAAAAAAAAAATTTTTTTTTAAAGACAGCAAACACCTATAGAGGTCATGGGGTGGTTGGGAGAATTTGAACAGATTTTGTTGTCATAAGGTGCCATAGCGACTTTATGCACAGCAGAACGAAACACTGCCCGATCCTGGGCCAACCTCACTACTGTTGCCACACTTGAGCCCATTGATGCTGCCACTTGGCCAATC